ATAGATAGATAGATAGATAGATAGATAGATAGATAGATAGATAGATAGAACTAAATACAGCACTACACAGAGTCATGTGTTCATTTGAGAATAAACCCTTTAATCTCAGTAAACATTAATCAGAGTCCATCAGTGTCACACAGTTGTTCTGCTGGAGGAATCTGAATTACTTTTTATTCATTAAAGATGTATAATGGTATTTATATATATATTTAATCTCTGCTTAAAACTAATTTTTACTCCCTGGCCTTTCATTGTGGTAGAGTTTGAGATTCTTTTAAAGCTAATTAATGCTCTTTTTCTCTTTTTTAAATTGATCTTATTGTTGTTTACATTTCTGTGTTGCTCTGTTGTTTTATTCATTTGGCTGAATAGTGACTTTGGTCAAGTTGTGTTGTTTTTATGTGCTATGAGACCAAAGAAGAGAACTCTGAAGCCACATCAGTTTGTGAAGCAGAGAGCTGTAGTGTGTATCTGAGGCCAGATGGTGTCAGCAGAGCCAAGATTCAGAGAAGGAACTGAGAAAACTGCTTATTTTATGTGACTCTTTTTACATCTTTAATGAATAAAAAGTTATTCAGATTCCTCCAGCAGAACAACTGTGTGACACTGATGGACTCYGATTAATGTTTATTGAGATTAAAGGTTTTATTCTCAAATGAACACTTGACTGTGTGTAGTGTTGTTTACCCTTCATTCACAGCAGACAAATGAAAGGATGAATTTTACCTTTACTTGTACRTTTGTTTTTTCTTAATAAAGCCCAACACAAAACTAAAAAACACTGAGTTGTTTGGAAATATGCATGCACCTGTCATCTGTAACAATGTGTATGTCTGCAGGGGCACATCAAGACAGGTGGACACATTTAAAGACAGACATGTGAAACTACAAGGCCAAACAAAGTCTTGCCACCAACAAAACTTAAAGTTAAAAAGTCAAAAGCAGAAAGTCAAAGCAGCAAAAATGATGAAATCAAATGTAACTACAAAGCTGAATTTAAGTGTTTCCCCATGACAGTGGAGGTCTGAATGAGCTCCACTACAAAGCAGACAGTGATGACCTGCAGCTGCAGAAAGACTCGATATTAAAACCTGAGCTCAGCGTCAACCTGCTGCAGACACAATCACTGCCAAGTGACAGCACCACTGAATTTATCTGGAGTCAAGTCAACTCAAAAGTTCCCAAATCCTGCAGTTTCTGAAAGTAGAACAGGAGGCAGAGTTTTTAGTTGTARGAGGAGAACACTGAGAGAGACCACCAAGACTCCTAAGACCACTCTGAAGGAGATCCAAGCTTCAGCAGGTCAGATGGAAGGACTGTAGAACTGGATCTTCACCTGGTTCGTCAGATTTATTTATGGGAGGGAGACAGAGAGAAAGACACTGCTGAAGAAAACTAGAGATCTGTCACGGACAGATTTATTTTTCAATTTTAGTTTCCGGTTGCAGCTCAGGGAACTCAGTTACTAATTAAAGTAATCATCTTTCTGTCAACACAACTTAACAGATCATCCTTCCATCATTTTACAGCTCTGTACACAAACAGTGCTTCTGATTGGTCCAATA